CTCAATTCCCCTGCCAATGAAAGCCAATACACCTTACACCTTCTTTACAACCCTATCAACTTGTGTAGCAACTTTGGGGGATCTATGGACGTGGGCTCCAAGATCCGTCCGTTCCTCCACACTGCCAAGAATCCTGCCATTAACCCCGTGTTCTGCATTCAAATTCGACCTTCCAAAATGAATCACTTCATACTTTTCTGGGTTGAATTCCATCTGCCACTTCTTTGCCCAGCTCTGCATCCTGTCAATGTCCCATTACAACCTACAACAGCCCTCCATGTTGTCCACTACTCCACCAACCTTCGTGTCATCGGCAAACTTACTAACCCCACCTTCCACTTCCTCATTCGAGTCATTTATAAAGATCACAAACAGCAGAGGCCCCAGAACAGATTCCTGCGGAACACCACTGGTCACCGAGCTCCAGGCTGAATGCTTTCCATCTACTACCACCCTCTATCTTCTAAGGAAAGCCAGTTTTGTATCCAGACAGCCAAATTTCCCTGAATCCCATGCCTCCTTACTTTTTGAATGAGCCTACCATATGGAACCTTATTGAATGTCTTGCTAAAATCCATATACACCACATCCACTGCTGTACCTTCATTGATGTGTTTTGTCACATCCTCAAAGAATTCAGCAAGGCTTGTGAGGCATGACCTACCCCTCACAAAGCCATGCTGACTATTTCTAATCAAACTGTGCTTTTCCAAATAATCATAAATACAATCTCTCAGAATCCTCTCTGATAATTTGCCCACTGCAGAAGTAAGACTGACTGGTCTGTAATTTCCAGGATTCTCCCTATTCCCTTTCTTGAACAAGGGAATGACATTTGCCACCCTCCAATCTTCTGGCACTACTCCAGTGGACAGTGAGGATGCAAAGATCATTGCCAAAGGGGCAGCAATCTCTTCCCTCGCTTCCCGTAGTAACCTTGGGTATATCCTGTCTGGCCCAGGGGATTATCTATCCTCACGTTTTTCAAAATTTCTAGCACATCCTCGTTCCTAACATCAACCTGTTCGAGCATATCTGCCTGTTTCATGCTGTCCTCACAAACATCAAGGTCCCTCTCACTGAAGCAAAGTTTTCATTAAGGACCTCCCCTACCTCCTCTGACTCCACACACAAGTTCCCTCCACTATCCCTGATTGACCCTATTCTCACTCTGGCCATCCTCTTGAACCTCACATAAGTTTAGAATGCCTTGGCGTTTTCCTTGATTCTACCTGCCAAGGTTTTCTCATAGCCCCTTCTTGCTCTCCTAAGTCCATTCTTCAGTTCCTTCCTGGCTACCTTGTAGACCTCTAAAGCCCTGTCCAATCCTTGCTTCCTCAACCTTAAGTAAGCTTCCTTCCTCCTCTTGACTAGGTGTCCAACATGTCTCGTTATCCATGGTTCTTTCACCTTACCATCTTTTCCTTGACTCAGTGGGACAAACCTATCCAGTACTTCTAGCAACTGCTCCCAAAACAACCTCCACATTTCTATCGTGTGTTTCCCTGAGAACATCTGATCCCAATTGGTGCTCCGTAGTTCTTGCCTAATAGCATTGTAATTTCCCCTCCCCCAATTAAATACTTTCCCACACCGTCTGCTTCTATCCCTCTCCATGACTATAGTAAAGGTCAGGGAGTTATGATCACTATCACCCACCGAGAGATCTGACACCTGGCCTGGTTGGTTGCCAAGCACCAAATCCAATTTGGCCTCCCCTCTAGTTGGCCTATCTACTTATTGAGTCAGAAATCCTTCCTGGACACACCTGACAAGATCTGCTCCATTCCAAAGTATTTGCACTTAGGATGTTCCAGTCGATATTAGGGAAGTTGAAATCGCCCCTGGCAACAACCCTATTACTTCTGCACCTTTCCAAAATCTGTCTCCCAATCTGTTCCTCAGTGTCTCTGTTGTTATTGGGGGGTCTATAGAAAACTCCCAATAAAGTGACTGCTCCTTTCCTGTTTCTTACTTCCACCCATACTGGCTCAGTGGAGAAACCCTCCTCCATGACCTCCCTTTCTGCAGCTGTGATACCATTCCTGATTAGCAATGCCACTGCCCCACATCTTTTACCTCCCTCCCTATTTCTTTTGAAACATCTATACCCCAGAACATCCAACAACCATTGCTGCCCTGGTGTTATCCAAGTCTCCATAATGGCCACAACATCGTAGATCCAAGTACTGATCCATGCTCTAAGTTCGTCACCCTTATTCCTGACACTTCTTGCAATGACATAGACACACCTCAACCCGTCGCACTGACTGCCACTTTGCCCTATCAACTGTTTATCCTTCCTCACAGATTCTCTGCTTGCTCTATCTGCCTGTACACCGGCTACCCCATCCTCTGATCTGTAGCTCCGGTTCCCATCCCCCCGCCAAACCAGTTTAAACCCTCCCAAAGGAACGGTTGAAGCATTTAAGAAAAGACATGGACTATAAAAGTCCTAGCAAATTTGAACCATCAGGACTTACAGTTGTCAGGTGACTCTCTCCCTAACAATGCTGTGGGTGTCCACATTGTGATTCCTACAATTGCATCCTCTACAAAATCGATCTTATTGCAACCTTGTGAATGAGGCTTTAGCCATTTGGTCACTATGTAAGGGCATACCAAACCTATCCTGCATGTTAACAGATACCCTGATCAGATAATCACTTATATATCACATAAACTCATGAAAGGGTCTACGACCACCAGTTTTGGCCCTGACTGATGCCCAGTCTACCTCAGATTGCTCTGGAAAGGGAAGGTGTCTCAAGCATTGCAATAACAAGTGAAGCTAGCTGTGTTATACTCTTGACTGAAAACAAAAAATGCTGGAGATCATAGTGGCAGAGGCAGCATCCATGGAGAAGAAAGCAAGCTAACGTTTTGAGTCTAGATGACTCTTCATCACAGTTAACAGGGTGGGGCGAGGTTTGGAGTGCTGGGAGAAGAAAGGATGTTGATAGTTCAGATGAAGTGATCAGAGTGTGACAATGGCAGAACAATGGTGTGTCTAACTGCCAGACTTGAAAGAACAGGCAGTCCCACTGGGGTGGGGGTATGGGAGAGAGGATATGGTGACAGAGAATGTAACAAGCAAAGCTAAAAGAAAGGGAAGGAATGGGTTCACAATTTGAAGGTGTTGAACTCAATGTTGAGCCCAGAAGATTATAAAGTACCTAGTTTGAAGATGAGATGTTGCTCCTCCAGTTTTTGCTGTGATTCGCTGGAGCATTGCAGCATGCCAAGGACAGACAAGTGGGCACGTGAGCAGGACACTGTGTTAAAATGACCAGCTACAGGAGGGTCAGAGTCATGCTCGTGCACGGACCAGAGATGCTCTGGAAAGTGGTAACCAGTCTGCGTTTGGTTACTCCAATGTAGAGTAGGCAACATTGGGTGCAGTGAATACAACACACAAGATTGGAAGAGGTACAGGTGAAATGTTGCTTCACCTGGAAAGACTGTTTAGGCCTTTGGATGGTGAGCAGGGAGGAGGTGAAGAGGCGGGTGTTGCACCTTCTGTGGTTACATGGGAAGGTGCCATTGGAAGGGGGGTGTGGTGCTGCCGGTGGAGGAATGCAGCAGGGTGTCCTGGAGGGAGCGATTCCTGTGAAATGCAGATGGGGGAGTGAGGGGAAGATGTGCTTGGTGCTGGCGTTCTGCTGGAGTTGTCTGAAATGGTGGAGAATGATCCTTTGAATGTGGAAGCTTGTGGAGTGAGAAGTGAGAACAAGGATGACCCGATCATGCTGTTGTTAGTGATGGGAAATGCTAAGGGTGGAAGAATGAGTGATAGGTTGGATGCAGTTGAGAACCCTATCAACGACAGTGGATGAGAAACTACAGTTAGGGAAGAAAGAAGCCATGACAGCAGCGCTGATTTGGAAGGTGGCATCATCTGAACAGACATGACATAGGTGAAGGAACTGGGAGAATGGGATGGAGTCCTTGTAGGACATGGGGTGTGAAGAGCTGTAGTGAAGGTAGCTATGAGAGTCAGAGGCTTTGTAGTGGATGGCAGTGGACAGTTTATTCCCCAAAATAAAGACAGAGAGGTCAAGGAAAGGAAGGGAAGTGTCAGAAATGGATGATATGAAAGTTATAGAGGGGTGGAAGTTGGAGGCAAAATGAAGAAATTTTTCAAGGTCTGGGTGGGAGCATGAACTCCTACACTCTTACTATGCAGTAAATCCACAATTGGCTTTCTCCACCAACAGGATCATGTCATCAAATCAAAAAGATGCTTTACTGCCCACACAAATAAGTGATGTGATGTGTGATGTATGAGTTTCAGTGCTCATGTGATGCCAAGTATGCAAGCTGTATGTTATAATCACAAGTGGATCATTACAAACAACACCTTCTATTGTCCAATCACAGCTGGCAATAAGCAGCTCATGCTCATCCAGCCTGTGCTTGCAAGCTTCAGAAAAATTATATCCAGCAATAAATGTGATTCTGGTGTTGGAAATCATTTATTAAATAATCCAGACTGTGCTGAGCGTTACACCGAAACCGATTTACGATCATCAGTTAGGCCCATAGTCTGATGCATTTGTGTTTGCTAGAAATACTCAGGATCCTGTCCTATGAATGCAAAAGGAATTTGCATAGACATTTTGCCTTGAAGCCAGCCAACATCTGCTGCATCCCATGACAAGGCCCTGACCATTCAGAATCTACCTGTCTGCTGCGAAAATTAAGATTGACAGTTAACTGTCCTTGTTAGAAAGGCAACGATGACCCAAACGATCAGCTGCTGTGAAGGGTCTAGGCCCGAAACGTCAGCCTTCCTGCTCCTATGATGCTGCTTGGCCTGCTGTGTTCATCCAGCTCTACACCTTGTTATCTCTGCTTTTTCTGAGTTAGTTTTATGTAGCTGAGCTCTAAAAGAGTGCAAGATGAAACGCGGCAACTTCTAGTCTCCTCTTTGTAATGTTTACACCTTTAATGCAAATTTTAATTCTTGTAATTAAATGAAACAGATGCGGGGCCAGGCGATGTGTTGCACCTGCATGATGTGGGAACTGGTGATCCCCATTGTGGTTCATAGTGACCACATCTTTAACCAGTCTTTGTTGCTCGAGGAGCTCCGACTCAGAGTTGATGAGCTGGAGTTTGATCTTCGAACACTGCGACGCATCAGGGAGGGGGAAGAGTTATCTGAAAGCTGTGTTTCAGGCAGTCACACACTGTAGGTTAAGTACTTCAAATATGGCTAGTGGCTAGGAAAAAGAGGTTGTGAATACAAGTGAGGCATAGAACATAGAACATAAAACAGTACAGCACAGTACAGGCCCTTCAGCCCACGATGTTGTGCCGAAATTTTACCCTAAACCTAAGATCTATCTAACCTCTACCGCTACCTTATACTATCATACATATGTCGATCTAATAGCCGCTTAAATGCCCCTAATGAGGCCGACTCCATTACCCTCTCCGGCAATGCATTCCACGCGCCGATCACTCTCTGAGTAAAGAACCTACCTCTGACGTCTCCCCGATATCTACCTCCTTTCACTTTAAAACTATGTCCCCTTGTAAAAGCTACCTCCACCCTAGGAAAAAGTCTCTGGCTGTCTACTCTATCTATACATCTGATCATTTTGTACACCTCTATCAAGTCACCTCTCATCCTTCGTCGTTCTAAAGAGAAAAGCCCTAGCTCTCTCAACCTTTCCTCGTAAGACCTTCCCTCCATTCCAGGCAACATCCTGGTAAATCTCCTCTGCACCTTTTCTAATGCTTCCACATCTTTCCTGTAATGAGGTGACCAGAACTGGACACAATACTCCAGATGTGGCCGAACCAGGCTTTTGTATAGCTGGAGCATAACTTCACAGCTCTTGAACTCAATCCCTCTGTCAATGAAAGCTAACACACCATACGCCTTCTTAACAACTCTATCCACCTGGGTGGCAGCTCTCAGGGAACTGTGAACATGAACCCCAAGATCCCTCTGCTCCTCCACACTGCCAAGAATCTTTCCGTTAACCCTGTATTCTGCTTTGAAGTTTGTCCTTCCAAAATGAATCACCTCACACTTTTCAGGGTTAAACTCCATCTGCCACTTCTCAGCCCAGCTCTGCATCCTATCAATGGCCCTTTGTAACCGAGAACAGCCCTCCGCACTGTCCACAACGTGACCCACCTTCGTATCGTCCGTGAACTTGCTAATCCACCCTTCCACTCCTTCATCCAAATCATTTACAAAAATCACAAATAGAAGAGGACCCAGAACAGATCCCTGTGGTACACCACTCGTAAATGAGCATCATGTTGAATATTTTCCATCCACTACCACCCTTTGTCTTCTAAGGGTCAGCCAATTCTGAATCCAATCTGCCACATTTCCCCCTATCCCATGCTTCCTTACCTTCTGCATGAGCCTACCATGGGGAACCTTATCCCTTGCTTCCCATAGAATCCTTGGATAAATTCCATCAGGCCCGGGGGACTTATCTATCTTCAACTTCCTCAGAATTCCTAGCACATCTTCTTTACTAATATCAACCTCCTCTAGCCTACCTGCCTGTTTCACAACATTCTCCTCTACAACTAGGTCCCTCTCAGTTGTGAATACTGAAGAAAGGTATTCATTAAGGACCTCTCCTATCTCTTTAGCCTCTGTGCACATATTCCCTTTACAATCCTTGATCGGCCCTACCCTTTCTCTGGTCATTCTCTTTTTCTGCACATACGTGTAAAAAGCCTTGGAGTTTTCCTTGATCCTATCCGCCAAGGTTTTCTCATGCCCCCTTACAGCTCTCCTAAGCCCTTTCTTCAGCTCCTTCCTGGCTAACTTGTATTGCTATAGAGCCTTTTCCGTTCCTCTTTTCCTAAACCTTACATAAGCCTCCTTCTTCCTCTTAACCAGTCGTTCGACCTGTCTCGAGAACCATGGCTCCCTCACTCGACCACATCTTCTCTGCCTGCTAGGGACAAACATATCGAGCACATGCAGTATAATTCCTTAAACAATCTCCACATTTCTGTGGTGCTCTTCCCTGACAGCATCTGTGCCCAATTTATGTTACCCAGTTCTTGCCTAACTGAATTGTAATTACCCTTCCCCCAATTGTAAACTTTACCTGCCGTATGTACCTCTCCTTATCCATGACTATCGTGAAATAAACAGAGTTATGATCGCTACCACCAAAATGCTCTCCTACCAACAGGTCTAACACTTGGCCCGGTTCATTGCCAAGCACCAAATCCAAAGTGGCCTCTCCTCGTGTTGGTCTATCTACATACTGTGTCAGGAATCCTTCCTGAATGCACTGGACAAAATCTACTCCATCTAAACTATTACAACTAAAATGTTTCCAATCAATATTTGGGAAGTTGAAGTCAGCCATGACTACAACCCTGTGACTTCTGCACCTTTCCAGTATCTGCCTCCCAATCCGCTCTTCTACTTCTCTGCAACTATCTGGGGGTCTGTAAAAAACCCCCAACAAAGTGACTGCGCCTTTCTTGTTCCTGACCTCAACCCAAACTGACTCTGTAGACATATCATTCTCAAACTGCCTTTCAGTAGCTGCTATACTCGCCCTGACTAGCAATGCCACTCCCGCACCTCTTTTTCCACCCTCCCTATTTCTTTTAAAACATCTAAATCCCGGAACTTCCAACAGCCATTCCTCTCCCTGAGTTACCCAAGTTTCTGTAATGGCCACAACATTGTAGTTCCAAGTACCGACCCATGCTCTGAGTTCATCCGCTTTATTTCTGATACTTCTAACATTGAAGTATGCACACCTCAAACCATCTCAGTGTCCACAATTACGCTCCATCGACTGCATTTCTTTATCAACCACCTCACTCCCTGTTGTGTCTGTTGGAAGGCCGAATACCTCATCCTCTGAATTATAAATCCGGTTCCCCACCCCCTGCCAAACTAGGTTAAACCATCCCGTACAGCTCTAGCAAACCTCTCTCCCAGGATATTTGTGCCCTTCCGGTTCAGGTGCAACCTGTCCTTACTGTACAAGGTCCCACCTTCCCCAGAATGTGCTCCAATTATCCACATAATGGAAGCCCACACCAGCCCTGTAGCCATGTGTTTAGCTGCACTCTCTCCCTATTTCTTACCTCGTTATCACGTGGCACTGGTAGTAATCCAGAGATAACTACCCTGTTTTGTCCTGGACTTCAGCTTCCAACCTCACTCCCTGTACTCATTTTTCACATTCTCAGTCCTTTTTCTACCTATGTCATTGGTACCGATGTGTACCATGACTGCTGGTTGCTCACCCTCATCTCTGAGGCAGGTAGAGGGATCCTGAATTTAGCATTGGAAGAGCCTCAGATCTTGACGTTATCCAACAAGTATGAGGTACGCACTCCCTGTGTGGATGAGGAAGTGGACTCTGGGAAGGATAGGCAAACTGACCACTGCACCGTGGTGCAGGAGGCTATTTAAATAAGGATAATAAAGAGAAGTTGTAGTGGTAGGGAATTCTATAAATAGGCTTACAGACAGGATCCTTTATAAGCGGGATCAAGAGTCCAGCATGGTATGTTGTCAGACAGGAATTAAGAATTATTGTAATTCATGCACAAGTTCTTCAAATATGAACGATTGCCTATCCCACCATCAACCCGTTTTAGTAAGGATCAACAATCTATCCTTGCCAATTTGCACCTCGTGCCCTCACAGATCCCAGTTTCAGATTTGACTTCTTCACTGTCTAACTTAACGAAAAGTGAGTGGCTGAGTGAGTAGTTGAATGAATGAATGAATGAGTAAGCAGGAGAATGAGTGTGAAAGTGAATAAGAAATTGAATGAATGAAAAAGTCAGAGATGAGTGAATGGGTAGGTGAGTTTGTTGGTCTGTGAATGAATGGGTGAGTAAGTGGGTGAGAGGGTGAGTGTTAGCAAGTGAGTGAGTGGATTAACAACTAAAAGAGAAAAGGCAGCTCATTCATAGTTTACAAAAGAAATTACAGATAGTATGAGACCCAAAGGCCTGGTTCGGCGACATCTGGAGTATTGTGTCCAGTTCTGGTCGCCTCATTACAGGAAAGATGTGGAAGCGTTGGAAAAGGTGCAGAGGAGATTTACCAGGATGTTGCCTGGAATGGAGGGAAGGTCTTACGAGGAAAATTTGAGAGAGCTAGGGCTTTTCTCTTTGGAACGACGAAGGATGAGAGGTGACTTGATAGAGGTGTACAAAACGATCAGAGGTATAGATAGAGTAGACAGCCAGAGACTTTTTCCTAGGGTGGAGGTAGCTATTACAAGGGGGCATAGTTTTAAAGTGAGTGGAGGTAGATATAGAGGAGACGTCAGAGGTAGGTTCTTTGCTCAGAGAGTGGTCCGGGAGGTGCAATGCATTGCCGGAGTGGGTAGTGGAGTCGGCCTCATTAGGGGCATTTAAGCAGCTATTAGATAGGCAAATGGATGATAGTATAAGTTAGGGGTGGAGGTTAGATAGACCTTAGGATTAGGGTAAAAGTTCGGCACGACATCGTGGGCTGAAGGGCCTTTAACCTGTGCTGTACTGTTCTATGTTCTATGTTTCGAAGAAGAGAGAAATAAAGTGGCTTGAAAAAGCAGCACGCCTGAGAATTGGGAGCATTTTATATTCAGCAAAACAGAATAAAAACAGAAATTGCTGGTGAAACTCAGTAGGTCCGGCAACATATCTGGAGAGAATACAGAGCTAATATTTCGAGTTCAGTGACCCTTTATTAGGACAAAAAGTTTGATCAAGGGGGCAAAATAGAGTTTGAGTGGAAAAATGCAGGAACGTAGAAGCTGTAAAAGCTTTTATAAATATGTGAAAAGAAAAGGATTAGACAAATATATGGCCTGTACAGTCAGAAGTGGGGGAAATTATAATGCGAAACAAAGAATGGGAGAAGAATTGAACACATTCTTTGGTTCTGTCTTCACAGAAGCAAGTACAAATAACCTCCCAGAAATGTCAGGGAACCAATGGTCTAATGAGAGAGAGGAATTGAAGGAACTCAGATGTGTAAGTAAATAATGCTGGGGAAATTATTGAAGTTAAAGTCTGACAGATCCCAGGGCCTGAGAATCTACATCCTAGAGAATGAAAGGATGTGGCCTTGGAAATACTGGATATATTGGTGGTCATCTTCGAAAACTTTATATACTCCGAGCAGTTCTGACAGACTGGGGAGGGAGAGATATGGTAGTGTTAAACCTAATCCAAGGGAATGAA